GAAGAAGAAGAAGAAGAAGAAGAAGAAGAAGAAGAAGACGACGACGACGACAACTTTATGCTGCAGCATATTATATTACTTTGGTCACATGATGCAGGGACACTTCACAGGACTTCTGGATTTTCTGTACTGGAAAATGTGACTTGGCTTAGAGACTAATGAGGACTTGCACCAATATTTAGCAGGGAGTTCCCATATGTTTGTGAAAATTTGGGGGGACTGTGATCTTTGTGTGGTCTTGGCTATTCCATTCTGAGTATCTAACTTGTACTGTCAGCCCAAAAGCTTTGTGCAGTCCTCTAGCACCACTAGATGATGATCCTGGAGTCTTCCCAAATGTGGTATCCTCCATATTCTGGACTACAACTCCCATTATTTCTGACTGTTGTCGATGGTAGCTGCACTTTGGAATTGTAATCCAAATCATATGCACTGGTTAGGGAGGCTGAATGAGGGTTAACATTCAGTCCTTCCTCTTAAAAATCTAATTAGATTAATGTTGTGGGATAGAGCCTGAAAAGGCATTGGATACTAGAGGGAAACTTTGATTGGGAAGCAAGAGAACTACAGTACAGGATTGTATTATATGTTGTTTTCACTCAGTATTCTGACCAGGTATTGGAAAGTTGACTTATGTAAACCCATCACATACTGTAGACAATCATGGCTGATAGTACTCAAGTGGTTGGTGGGCATGATAGTTATTTTTCCTCATGAGTCGAGTACACAATGAAGAAGTGGCAACCAAAGGTACTTCTCCCATTCTTGTCTTTCTTTCTGTAGCTTGGTGTTTGCTACACCTCTTTGTTGTGCATTCTTCCCACAGAAGAGGTAAGAAGTACTCCTCATATTCTTGCATGTTACTGTTGCTTTCAGTTAGATGCAGTATTTGTTTCCTGGATGTTTCTCAGGAAAGTGTAATCTATAGAATGCATTTCCCCGCAGATCATGCCAAAGTATTGGGGACTGGGAAATATAGCGCAGTGGTAGAGCTTTGCAATGAGAAGATCCCAGATTCATTCTCTGATGTGTCAAACTGGAAAGGTCTGTTCAGCAGCAACAGACAAGAACAGCCATTGTCAGTTGGAGAAGGCTGAAGGCAGAAAGATTGAAAAGCACATTTTCTGACCAACGGCAGCCCTTTGGCTCCTGACATTTCATACTTTCAAGCCCACATACATTCAGGGTTATCTTCATAGCTTTAAGGGCTTTTTAAAAAAATGGACATTTACATATTCTGATGGCCAATTCCATACTGAATATTACATTTTACATTTCTGTGGAATGGTCACAGAAGTGTGGAGTTCATAGAGTCTTGTATTTAACCTGCCTATTTTGTCTCTTGCTTTGTGGGTCAGCACGCCTGGCCTATGAACTAAGTAACTGGATACTGAAATGATATTTGAAATAGTGCAGTCAAATGAATAATTAATAGCACTTTGATTTTACTTGCTTTCTTACAGAAATAATTATCCCTTTCCATTGGCCATGAAGTTGAAAATATAGCTAAACCAGCTTTTCCAACTTAGTAGCTTTGTGAGGGCCATGCTGATTGGAGATTATAGGCGCTGTAATCCAACACCTCCAGAATGCATCATATTGAGAAAAGTCTGTCGAAGCCTGTAGAATCCTAATTCTCTAAGCACAACCTTTCAGTAACCCTAATCCTCTAAGATCTTGGTGTCACATCCATAGGAGGTGTGCTTTCAAGTAAATAGTGTATTATTTCCTTTTGCAGTTCCATGTGGGTGAATCGCCTGGAACCACAAGTCCAGACTCTGATCAGGGAGAAGAACTCTGATATTGAGGTTGTCTATTTTAATAAAGGACTTTAAGAAATGATGCCACATACTACTCTGATATGCAGCAGAAAGAAGTCATTGAGGAACCAGTGAACCAGCACTCCAAAGGAGAAAGTTACATTTTGTAATAATATAATCACTTTTACATGCTTCTTTCTTACTGGCTGTCAAATCTTGGCAGTCCTATGTGCATGATATAACCTTCCTGGATTCAGGAACAGATTATAATCTGGCAGTGTGCTTTTGCTGTGATCAAAGCAGAATCATTCCAGTCTTGACTCAGCTTGATGTCAGCACTAGAGCTGCTGATAGTTTTTAAGCAAAGCCCAATCCCCATATTATGTATAATTCCGCTCTGATGTGTAGGTGTCGTGTGTGAAGGAAAGAGTGTTTGTGTCCATGCATGTAATCCCTGTGAAATAATGTTTAAGAATCATAGAAGTGAGATCATTCTGGGGAGAGGAGACTCCACAGATATAGGTAGTCCCCAGTTTAAGAACGAGTTCTGTTCCCAAAGTCTGTCCTTAAGTCAAATTTGTATGTAAGCCAGAGCAGTATTATTGTATAATACTGTATAAGTAGTATTGTATAATGAACTCAAACCATTGTGTAT